AGCTCTCTCCCCTTGTGGACCAAGGGCTACTCAGGTTCAAGGGTCTCTGAGACTCATCTGTGGCACAAGTTCTGTTCTGTTATCAATGTTGTTGCTCCTGTTCACATAGTTTGACCTGAAGTTGTTTTGGGCTACTCAAGCATGTCTCTTTCCTTGAAAAGTCAGGCTGCAAGTTTTTCCCCAGGGCTGGCAACTGCTGAGAGCCAATCATTCTAACACTTGACTCAGACCAAAGGACCTTTTTGCAAAGTGTCACTTATTCCTGGGCTACTTCTTTTTTGGGGGGGAGACATCACTTGTCACCAACCTGTGAAGAACCACATCTCTAAGGTGTTTTGAGTTTCCCTGTGTGTGCAGATGGCCTCATGTGGCTGCTGCAGGTGTCACAGCAACCCTCCTGCCTGCTTACCTGTTCCCTCATTAGTTAGCAATGGAAGCAGGCAAAGGCTGAGGCCCAGCTCCAGGATGAGAGCAGCTGCCTTCCCTAATGTCACAATGCTCCCTCTTCCTGTGTCTTCTGCTGTCCCCACCAGGTCTCTATCCCTCTACTTTGTATCTGAAGAAGACTGGCCCCAGATGGGTTTCTCAGACTCCAAGTCTGTTTAAACTACTGTGCAAAAAAGACTGTCAAATGGAACTTGAACTTTGCATAGATAAATATCTGTGAATGCAAAATAAAAGATTATTTAGTCTAACATCTGAAAAGTTCTGGTCATGTATCCCTGGTTGATCTCAAAGTCACTCTGTAACTTATAATGTCCTTTAATTTATATTTTTCTTAGTACAATATCCAAGTAGCTGAGATTGCAGGTCTGTGGCCCTGGTCTGGTTCTTATGTGCCCTTTTATAATAAGAGTATATGACTATTTTCCTTTGAACATCTAGAGTCTCATGGAGCAATTTTGTTACTACTAGATGGTATTTTTTCCTTTTAAGACAGCATCTCCTGTAGGCTAGGCAGGATTTGGAGCTACTAAATATTTAGTGTAGGCTGACTTTCCACTTCTGATCACTCTTTCTCTACATCCAAGACCAAACAGGCCTGTTGACCCAACATGGAGTGTGGAAACAATAAATGGTCCTAACTTCTATAATAAAAAAAAGAAATGTGGTGGAGTGAGAATCCTTTCTTGGTACATTAACATGTGAATGACCATGGGGAAGGAAGGGGAGAAGTATTGAGTCATTTCAGTGGCCAAATTTATGTAATCAATTCTAAGACGTGATCAGAGTAAACAATTCACTAGAAACTAGAAGAACAAGGTGACATATGGGCAGATACTATCTCCAAAGAAAATTAGTAGTAGAGAGAATATCAAATTTAAACACTGAAGCACGTCTGAAGGTGATGTATTAGGGTCTAAGCACGGAGGGATACAAACTAGATTTATGAAGATGTTAAAGGAAATGTGGAATTCTAATACCAAAGTTTTGTGCCTACTAAAAATCTAAATTTACTATTTTTTGGTCACAAGGGAATGCTTTCTACACTGGAAAGACAAAGCTATGAGTAACATGTAGGTTACTAGCTGTTAAGAGCATAGGCCTTGTGGTCAGGCTGTCCTTAATTTATCTTGGTATGATCTTGGGCAAGTTAGTGGATCACATTACAGCTCAAACACAAGCCATAAAAATTTCACACCTTTGTTTTGCTGAAGAAATGATAAAAGCAAGACATGCACATCTACTACTAAAGCACCTGGGAGGTGGGTGCAGGAAGATCAGGAGTTCAGATTCATCCTTAGCTATATAGATAGTTTGATGCCAACTTTAGCTACCTCATACCATCTATCAACAAAAATGAGGCATGGGGGAAAGAGAATTGAAGGTGAGTGTAAGGAAAGAGGAATGGGAAAGGAGAAATACAAGGCAAGGGCAAGAGACAGGAATGGGAAGAAGAGAAGGAAACAAGTAAAGATGAAATGTCACAAGAAAAAGACCCTAAGATACTATCAAATAAATGCATATTCTTTTCATCAAGATTTATGTTTCTGAAGAACTTATGCTCTCTGTAGGAAGTCAAGACTTTAAATGGCAAATAAGGAGTGAAAAATACTTTAAGATAATAATAAAACAGTACATCTAGAATAATGTGTACCATCATGAATGAGGGCTCTTCACTATACATTTCCTGAGATTTCACAGGCAGCAGAAACCCTTGGTTGGTTTCCACGGCAAACATCTGAATGTGTGATTTTTCCATAACAATTCTGTCTCGTACACTCTGCACTCCCCTTTTCCCTGTTCCTGCTTTCTCTCCATTGCCCTGAATGGAAGGGGGAACCCACACAGTGCACATCATACAGAATAGTCATCATTCTGCAAAGCTCAGTCCTGGTCATGTCAGTCTTTGAGCTGAACACATTTATGGCTGTACCCGCCTTTCTGCTAAGCAGAAAGGAAGAAAGAATAGACAATGGAGTATTTTCCCTGAATTTGTCTAATGCTAATGGACTAGACATTGTTAATGTATTTATTGCCTGTATATATTGTATATGCTTATTATTATAGTTTTCTTACATTAGTTATAACCTTTCTAACTTTAGACAAAAAGGAGATTATGTGGTGATATCTTGCTTGTACAAATAAAGACTATCTGAAGGGGCATGTTGCCTTACGCCTGATAAGGAACACTTCTGGGCTGGTCAGACTGTTTGCTACCTATTTACAGATAGCTGCTACCTATCAGTTGGTGCCATTGAAACTGGTGTCATGGAGCTGTTGTTGGCCCAGCTCAGAGTGCCCTCTGCATGCAGAGTCCTTATGAGCCACTTAAGGAATGTACAATGGAGCCATGCAAATTCTGACAGCCTTTGAGCTGCCAGTGAGGAGTGATCACCTGTCAAACAGATCCCAGGGTGTAAAAAGGTCGCCTGGAGAAGATCGATCACTGGGCAGGGAGAGATCCTGAGGATTAGAGCGACCCTGAAACCAGGAAAGGTTCCCTAAGGAGAAGGCCTGGGGACCATGAGAGGGCTGGCACAGAGTGACAGGTGGGTGCTGAGGAGAAACTATGGGGGTCGAAGGAGGGGAGTTGGGAGCAGGAACAGAACCAGGTTGCCCAGGACCTGGGGAGAGGGAGAAGCCAGGATACCAACACTCATCATGTTAAAAATGGACTGAACATCTGAAACTGTAAGCAAGCCCCAATTAAATGCTTTCTTTTATAAGAGTTGCCATGGATGAGGTAACCCAATCACAAAAAGACAAACATGATAGCTACTAACTCATATGTGGATTTTAGACATAGAGTAAAGGATTACCAGATTACAATCCACACTGCCAGAGAAACTAGTAAACAAGGAGGACCCTAAGAGAGACATAAATGGTCCCCTGGAGAAGGGGAAAGGGTCAAGATCCCCTGTGCAAACTGAGAACATGGGAAGAGTGGGGAGGGAGCTACGAGAATGAGAAGGGAAGAAGAGGAAGGATGCAGAGGTCATGAGAGAGCAGAAAGGTTGAGTCAGGGGAAGAATAGAAGAAAGGGTATGTGATAGGTAGGGTTTTAGTTGGGGGGTGGTAGGGGAGGACGAGAGGGAGAAGGGAACTGGGATTGTCATGTAAAACAATATTGTTTCTAATTTAAATTAAAAAATGATAAAAAAACAAGAGTTGCCATGGTCATGGTGTCTCTTCACAGCAATAGACACTGGCTAAGACAGAAGTTGTTATCAGGGAGAAGTGTATTACGCTCACAGGCTTAACCATGCCGTTTATTGGCAGAATGTGGACTTTGGATTAGGAAACAGTTGAACAGCCCTAAGTAGGGCTTAATATACTATCCTAGTTGGAGCATGGAAGATAGTACTGAGCATGATTTGAACTTTCAGAGAGAAAATTTAAGCGACCCAGAGACCATTCTTCTGATATTTTGGTGAAGAATGTGGCTGCTTTTTGCCCCTGTCCAAAAAAATCTTCCTGAGACTAAACTGAAGAGTTTTGGATTAATGGCATTGGTAAAGGCAATTTAAATCAGTCTAGTATTGACTGTGTCATGTGGTTATTAGTAGTCACTCCTATGCAGATCTATAATGAAAAGGAGAAAGCTGAGCAAGGAAAATTACAAAATATACATTTTAAGGAGAAAAGGAGCTCCAGGAAGTATAATGCAGCCTTCTTAAAAGATCATTTAATTCAATACTTGCCATATATGCATAATAAAGACAAAATAGATTCTTAAAGCTAATTTAATTAACTTTATTCATTTAATTTAATGATTGAAAAGGCTTATTTCATAGCAGTGGCAGTAAAAGAATGTTGGAGGACATTGAATCTCCATGAATAATTATACTACCCATAGAAAGGCATCAGAGTGTTTTCTCAGCCACCCTCTATAATAATGAAAAAAGCTTTCACTTTTATTACTAAAAAACTATTTTAAAATCCTATATGGAAGTTAAGGTCATCACACAGTTGCATGATTTACTGATGGCACTGAGCACTGATGACCCTTCAACCTAACCCTTGACCCTATCCGCATAGGGTCAGTTGAATATTAACTAGCTGATACCGGTGATGAGAGCTGTCATTCAAATAAAGCTTTATGATATAAGGTTTACCTAGGGAAAGTAAACAGCAGAATGTTGAGAGAAATATCATTGTAGAGATATCCAGAGAAACTATAAAGCATCCAGAGGATTTAGCATAAACCTGTGAAGTTTATTCAGAGAGTCCTTTAAAACATATGGTGTAAGTCAGTCAGGGCTAACCACGCCCCGTTGCTATGGAAATCAGCGTCATTGACCTGCCCCCTCCTTACTCTAAGCCCCGGCGCCGAAGTGATGTCATCATCAGGCGCCAAAAGTAATTTCTGTTGCTGAGTCAGGCCTCGCACAGAGCCGCTTGAGGTCGTCGTGTCGTCGTGTTGCGCCGCTCCGCTCGGGAGTCTTCCTGTCTTCTGAGGGACTCAGGTACAGCGTGTTCTCACCCTTCACACCTGACCTGTCCCTCTCAGCGGGTACAGGAACTGCTGAGACTGTTGTGGTGTTCAAGTGCCCGCCATGGCTGAAGCGTCCTCACAAGTGCGTCAGAACTACGACCACGATTGTGAGGACGCTGTCAACGCCCATATCCAGCTAGAGCTGTACGCCTCCTACGTGTACTTATCTATGGCCTTCTACTTTGACCGTGATGACGTGGCTGAGGGGAACTTCAAGCATTTCTTCTTGAGCAAGTCACACACCCACAAGGCCAGTGCCGAGATGTTCATGTCCCTTCAGAATAAGTGTGGAGGCTGTATCGTCCTTCGTGACATCGCGAGACCAGACCGCGACAGCTGGCATGGGGCCATTCAGGCCATGGAATCCGCCTTCCACATGGAGATGAACATCAACCAGAACCTGCTGAACCTGCATGCATTGGCCAACGGAAAAGGCAACACCTACCTCTGCGACTTCATGAAGCAACACTGTCTGGATCAGCAGGTCCAAGTTATGAAGGAGGTGAGCCACTTTCTGACCAGTCTGCGCCAGATGGGAGCCTCAGAGAACGGCTTGGCTGAATACCTCTTCAACAAGCTCAGCCTGTCCTAAAGCCTCAAGTGGACTGAACTGGGATGTCCCCACTACCACGGGGTCTTCCTCTGGACATTAGATCTGATGTCCATGTTTCTTTTGAAGCAAGTTCACTTATTTTCGGTTTCTGTTTGGCTGTTGTTTGAAATAAATTTGTTTTCAGCAAAATTAAAGTATCAAGTTGATGTCTTTAGGGACTGTGTGAGTGTTACAGTTCTGAAGGGAAAGGCTTCCCCAACAGAAGTGTTACAGCTCTGCTATGGTGGGGGAAGGTTTCCCAAATGCAAGTGTAAGCTCTGCTCCAGCCAGGGAAGGGCTCCCCAATATTAGTGTTACAGCTCTGAAGGGAAAGGTATCCTGGCTGTTGGGAGCCAAGGAATACTACAAAGTCACAATGAACAACAAATCTCACACAGGAGATTTATTGGGAGGGAAAAAAACAGGAGGGTGGCTGCCTATAATCAGTCGAGAAGCAGCAGAGAACTGAAGAAGAGAAAGCAAAGTTTAAATAGAGTATTTTGGAGTGAGGGAGAGGCGTGGAGCTTTCCCGAGTGGCCTGAAATTGGTGGGATATTTTGTGACCTGATCTTGGGTCAAACTCAGTGATTGGTGGGAATCTGTTGCTTGGTCCTGGTTTTGGGCTTGGGGTCAAGTCAGGGTCAGAGTGTTTTTCCTTTGGCTCTGGTCTTTGGGGTCATGTCCGGGTCAGGGTATTTTCCCTTTGTCCTGATCCCAGGGTCAAATCAGGGTCAGGGTGTTCGTTCCTTGGCCCCTTTACTCTGGCTTAATTGTTATAGTGCCTCCCTAGCATTCGGAAAACCCTGGAATGCATCCTAACCATGGCAATAAACTAGGGATGGTGATACACACCTGAAATCACAGCACCATGGAGATGGAGGCAGAAATATCAAAAGTTGAATGTCACCCTCTGCTTTACAGCAAGGTGGAAGCCCTCTGAGGCTACCCAACACTGTTTCATAAAAGAAAATTATCCTCTCACCTTGAAAAAAAATGAATGTGTATCTCATGGAAGCATTTTTTTAAAATTTATGTTCAGGAGTATCTCCCCATAGCCATCCCCCATTATTTTGCAGCTTTGACTATCCAGAAGGGTGGGGGAGGCAATCATTAGCTTCTGGAAAAGTTCAAACTACCCTTTTGTCATCATCTGTGTGAGTGGAATCTATCAGAAGCAGCTGGTTGGCAGACTCCGTTGAAGAGATAGGGAGTGTCCACATCAGCTGGACTGGTTCACATCCACAGCACATCCAGGGCTTGCAGTGCTTAGGAACAGATTGCAGTCAGCAACTGATACTCAGATGTGTCTGCCAGAAGCAGAAACCTGTTTAAGACATGTTTAAACTGGGAACAGAAGTTAAAACTTATTTAATTGGAACTCTTTAGACCCATAGTTTTAGTGATCAGGAAGTACAGGAGTCCCAAGACCAGGGCAGAAAATCCCATCCTTAGGAACAGATAGGTGGGATAACAGGTTGTACTTATTTGGTGTCCCTTTGACCTGTGAGAAGTGGATCCAAATTTTATGACTTTTGATCCTCTGAAGCCTATATGAACTTTATTAAACAAAAGGACATAACAGTTTTAGGTACATTAGCATTATCAATCTGTACTGAAACCCACAGTGCAGAAAAAGCAGATCTGGGTATCTGTCCAACAGCAGGAACATACTCATATTTTTGAGTCCTAGCAAAAAACTACAGATTTGGGTAGAAGTGTGCACATTTTTCTTCTGTCCAGAGAGCCAGGTATAGATTGGACAGAGGTGCCTTAGCCTGATGAAAATCCCTTTAAATTTACAGCTAGAAGACAACCAAAATAAACCTAAAAACCCTGAGCTTGTGACTGAACAACAGCAGGTCGTCATTGCTCTATCAGCTTATCAGAACTTTAAAACTTTTATGTTCCTACATCCTCAGATCCTTATTGAGGAGCCATATTAAGGCTTGATTTTTACATATATAAATGAGTTACAAAGCTTGTCCCGCGCGATTGTCTCGCCAGCAAGAACAACACAGGACACTTGGATCCTTCTGCAGTAAAGCTTTAATGCGTCTTGAGAGAGAGAGCATAAGCTTACAGAGCGGAGACCCCGAGCCAAGAATCCTGTCCCCTAATAAAGGCTCATAAGCTCTGAGCTGTGCGTGTACAGCTGGGATAGGTGGATGACTCATCACCCTATATGACGCCATGGAATAGGCGGGGCTAGGCAAGTGGAAAAACACTGGGCACATGCATACCAACGTTGTTTACTTGATCCGGCAGCGGATGTCAGCGCCATCTTGTAATGGCGAATGTGAGTGCGGCTCCTCACACAAGCTGACTATATAGTCTTGTGGATTTGGCTGCTTGATGCTGCCAAGCTAATAACCATTAATACTTTCAGAGATCTGAGAAGGATAAATTTCATACAGTTTCCAAAGCTATTAAAACATGTACCAGTCCATATACAGTTAGCCATACCCAAGTCTCTCCATTAGTGTTGGAGGCAGAAGTATCACAGAATAGCATTAATCTTCGACAGGCCTATAAAGTGAGAGTTTTCTTTCTCTCTGTGGAAGAGAGACATGGAAAAGACTGACCTTGTTTTGTCTAGGTAAAAGGGGTGCAATCAATTTTCCAGTGTCCAGCAGCTTTGTCCACAGTAGCAGGTGTTGTATCTGAGCATCTCACTTACTGGTCAGCATGGTCATAATCCAGGTGCAGGAACCGGGGTGCCTTGTAATCTTCTTTGGAGACTTTGGGTCACTGTCAGGATCTTGCAGTCTGTCTGATATTATAAACTTTTAAATTAACATTTTAAATGTCACATTCTGCAGGTCTCTGAATCATTAGAGATTTGTCTGTCTGTTTAGTTACTTGCCTTAAGCTTAACTGTTGAAAACATACTCTGTTAATTTGTATTTCTTAACATGTTATTATAGGTTAGCAGCTTTTATAAAATTAGAACTTTAACACTGTCATGTTTAGCTTTTAAAAATAATCATTATAAACTGAAGCTTTTTAAGTACAAACATTAACAATAAAAACATTTTAAAAGCATAAATATCTCATAGCCATATAAATTTAAACATTTTAAAAAACTGTTCTTAAAAAGAAACTTAAAATCCCTTAATGTCTTTCTGTAATACTAAAAATAAAATACCCTTTATGTCTTTAAAATTGAAAGGTCCAGGCATTAATGCTGACCTGCCCAGACTAGGGCCCTATTCAGAATCTCAGATGGCTAGCCACATGGAGGACAACTTGGTCCTCAACCAAGTCTCCCCCTACAGATCGGATAACCGCCCCCATCCCATCCCCTTACCTTGGATCAGTTCGGCTGCCATCTGAACCTCTGCCCTGAACGAGGGCTTTGGGCGTCTCAGTTTCCTTCCCTGAATCTTTGTAGGCCTGCTTACAGATTTTGCCTTATAGATCTCGCTAGTGTATCCAACATAGGACCTTTACCTTTACACAATTAACAAAAACAACAGATGTGAAAACACAAAACTGACACAGTACATACAGCTCAGGATCTGCCAAGCCAGCACCGAGAAAGCAAGCAAGCAGGCTGTGGATCGAAACAGATCAGGTAACAAACCTGCCTAACCTGCCAGTCACACAGCCTGCTCTGACCTGCCAGGCTTCACAGAAACCAGAGCTCAAACAACCAGAAACAAGGACAAAAGCTTCAACAGCCAGAGACAGAAAAAAAAATTTCCCTGGGAAAACAGAAAGTTACTTTGTGTGGTGCTATGCGACTCAACGAAAAGGGGGGGTCCTGGTGGATTTTGGGGATACCAGTGAGCCCCCAAATTCTGAACCCCAAAATCATGAAGAGGCCCATTTCGATGCAAAAGCAAAGAGTCTTTTATTGCAGTTGTTTAACGATCTAACTCCATTAGTTTGGGGCTTTCATCCATCCACCGCAGCTGATGGCTGGAGAAAAGACCCCGAGAAACCACGAGACAGGCATCTTTTAGGGCAGCGTAAGGGGAGTATCTAGGGGTACACACAGGCTCAGGATTGGTGTACTTCCAGGCTTGGAGGACTTGCCCTGTGTTGATTGGTCAACTGGTTGTTATGGCCCATAGGCCCTCCCAGGGTGGTTGCTATGCTCTGTACATCACTGTTGTGCATTTGTTCATAAAGAACACCCAGAGCTGTAAAGCACAGCCTTGCCAGCTAACTTCTGA